CCATAAAAGCTAAGATCATGGGCTTTGGATTCACAGACCTGGGTCTGAATCCCAGCTCTGCTTCGTGGCCTTGAGCCGATTCTGGAAGCCTTCCCTGCTTCCTTTCCTCTCCTGTCCACTGATGCTAATAACAGTTCCTGCCTCACAGGGCTGTTGTTGAGATTAAATGAGCTAATACGTATAAGAAGCTGATTCACAGTAAGTGCTTGGTAAATGTTAGCTACTATTATTATTAGTTATTATTAGTGTTTACCAATTATTCCACCTGGCTTATCTGTTAGCTTCATAGTGCCAACGTTTTAGGTTGGTGGGAATGGATGTGAAATACCATTTGGATTCACTTTTTTTTTTTTAACTCATTCCTACATTTCCTCCTCCCATCCCCATTTCATCACATAAGAAAATGGGACAATTACTGTGGTAGAACTATGGCATATCAGAGCTGGAAGAGACTGGAGATCAGATCCTGTAGCTCAAATTCCTCTCAGTCCATAGAGAGAAAGATGATGTTGCCTTCATTGTAAACCCTGCCAGTCATGGGGTACTTACCTCATTCTTGGAAAATGGGATACCTGCATTAGATTCCTGTGGGCAGTAACGTCAGGGCTGATGGACACCTGGCTGCAGGACCCCTCCAACACATGACTTGGCCCATGCTAGAGCAGCTTAGCTGCTAGGGCCCCCCCCCCCCCAAAGATGCTGTGCTGCTTCAGACCTCAGCACACTACTGCCCTCGACCACTGTCTTTGTAAATAAATCTTTACTGGAACACAGCCCATGCATTTGTTTATACGTGAGCTGCTCTCATGCCACAACAGAATTGAGTGGTTGTGACAGACACCGTATGACTCTCAAAGCCTTAAAAAACCTAGCCCTTTATAGAAAGTCTGTCAACTTGTTCTGGCGGGCCTCTCAGGAGAGGTGACCTCCTGCCCCATCTCTCTGGCCGACACCCACTGCTCTTCAGTTCTTGGTTTTAGACCACGCCTCTCTCTGAAACCTTTCTGATTCTCGATGCCAAGAGGATGCACTTCCCACCACCACGAATCAGCCCTCCTTGGGCCCAGTCAGAGCAGGGCTCCTAAGTGTTATTATTCTGTTGCTTTTGTTTTGTGTTCAGGTCTGTCTGGCTCATGGAACTGTGAGCTCTTGGAGGATGGAACCATGTATTTTTCATCTTTGTGGCTGGTTTGGAGCCTGGCATACTGCCAGAATCTTAATAAAGGAATGAATGACTACATGTTTAGAAATTATCAAGCTCCTGTGATATATCCCTGGATGACACTAACCCTGCAAAGGGAAGGCATACTACCATGTGGATGCTCTCTGAGAGGCAGGAGTTCTGTCCCTGTCTCCAGGGCCATCACAGAGCTCTGAGGCACAGGAGACTCTTTGGTTTTCTCAGTTTCCCATTTTAGACCTTTTAACTCCTGTCGTTCCTGCCACGATGACCAAGCACTCTGAGATCACCTGCAAATGTGAGAAAGGGGAGGCAGGGGTGGGTGGCTGTGGGCAGGCAGGGTAGTTTCCACGTGTTACCCTGGGCAACAGGCCCCTATAAGAGGCATCTGAACAAAAATATCTTCTTGCCTATTCTACCAGTTAGGGGTCCTTCAGTTTTACAAATTTATTTGTAAGCAGTCATAATCCCCCAGGGGGGCTGGGTCTGAGGGCTATCATTTAGGGCCAGTTGCTTGAAGAGATTAGGTCCTCGCACCTGTTCAGAACTCAACAATGCGGACTGAGTTGGAAGCAATGGTATAACGAACAAGGAGGAAGGGCAGAGGGAGGAAGATAAGGATGGTGTTTCTGTTCCACACTAATCCTTCTCTTGTAAAATATGGCACCTCTTAAGTATTTGGCCTGGATTCTAACCTAAAGGGAAACACAGCTCATGGTTGAAGGGAGGGAGAGGGCAGCAGCATGAGCTCGGCCATCAAGCCCTTCCGGTGTGTCTGGAACTTTCTCCTGAGCCATCAAAATGGGCAAAGAAGAATAGCACAAGACAGCAAATATTCTCTACGGGGCTGAAGCACTGCTGGCCTGGTTTTCTCCCTTCATCTAAACCAAACCACACCGAATACACAAACAACGCTGGAGTGGAACTCCGCCAAACCGTAACAGAACGTCTCCCTTCCTCCTCTGCTCTTGACTGTATGACTTCTCCATAATGACCTTTACTGCTTAATGCCACCGAGGAGCGCTTACAGTAACAGGTCTGGCAGACCTGACTGGGTGGAGAAGAGATCACACTTGTGAGGACCTGAAGAGCAGGCAGCAAGAAAACCAGCCTCACAGGCTCATGGAAGCCAACAACTGCTTCTCCTCAGGGGGTTTCTGTGTGTGTGTGTGTGTGTGTGTGTGTAATTTTTTTTCTCCATTTCATATGTTCCTCAAAGAATGGCCTGCTCTAGAAGTGCAGAAGATAATCCATTAGCAACAATGGTGGAATCTTTTTCCTGAGAAAATGCCTCTGGGGTGGTAGGGTGGTCATTCCCAAGGACTGGCTGGCTGGTTGCCTCGATATGGAATGTTTCTGCAGGTCACCTTAGAGGACCTCTCTTGTTCCTTCATTAGCCATGAGGAAAGCCTCCGTGCTGCGGCAGCTTTCCATGGGAAAGGGATGGGAAATCTTGCCATGCCTGAGTGAGGGCAAGCTCTAGGTCATCCCTGAAGACAGGGAAGTGGATTAAATCAGGGATTTAAATGTAGAGACACCACTTTAAAATGTATAGGCCTAACTTAAAAAAAAAATCTCTAGAGAAAGCTATTCTACTGTAAGGTGGTGAGAAAAAAGTGATTTTTATGGAGAAGCACATTCCTTCCTGCTTGGAAGACATTAACAAGTCTGCCAAAGGATTCCTCAGGAGCTCTTGGCTTCCCCTTATTATTTTGCCTGCTAAGCACTACTAGCAAACTCCTTGGGGGGGGGGGGCGGCACGGGGAGAGGAGGCCTCTCTTGCTCCTTCATTAGCTGTGAGTAAAGTCCACAGGCTGTGGCCTTCTGGAGTGGCGATGTACCCAGGGTGCCTTGACGCTTCCCAGCCTTCCTCTGTGGAGGCGGGAAGGAGGGGGCAAGGCTGCTGGTCTTCCCTGACAGCGCACACCAAACTCCACCGCCCAGACATCTACTTTTACAAAATGTGTTTACTTCATACGCAGGAATAATATCAGTCAAAAAACTTCTTGGTCTACGTGAAGGAACTACAAAAATCTGTCAAAGGTTGCAGCAAAGAGAGATTTTTTTCATCCATCTCTGGGCACGTTCGACCAAGATGGCAGAGCAGTTTGGGGCAGGAGAGAGAGAGAAAGAAGCTTAGTGTTCACCTTCTAGGTTTATTCTACCCCTTACATTTTTGTTTTCTCTAAGTCCAATGGAGCTCTTGCCAGGAAATCTTTTCATTCAAAATACCACTCAAAACCAAACAAATAACCAAGGAGCTGGATCTAACACTTATGTACAATGGTTCTTTGTAGCACAAAAGGAAACCTAACACCAGACTAGGTTTTCTGTTCTGTAGTAGGCGAGACATTAAAACTCTAAAAGGTGGCACACCGCACTTTGGAGCCATCTTGCAATGGGGGACTTTAAGTTCATATCCAGTTGTTGACAAAACTGAGCCCTTGGAGGTGTTTCCTTTTTCATCTCAACATCTCATTCATCCTAAAATCTTAGGGGAAAAAAATCCAAAATGCAAAGAGTTTTCAAAAGAACGTTTTTCTTTTTAAAGCAAATGGCCCCATGAAAACACAAGGTCAGCGGGGCTCAGTGTGTGTGTACTGAGTTTGGAGAGCTACGCAGAGGGCAGTGACCTATTAGCAACACATTTCAAAACAAAACTCACCCCAAACCTGTACAGAATGGTTTCAAAGCCTTAGGAGCGACAGAGCATACATATTTTATGAATTGGTTGGAGAACAATCCCGCCTCTTACTAGTTAACATACTGATGAGTGTCCCCATGTTCCCAGACAAGGACAGACTGAAACACACAGAAGGGTGGTTTTGGAAGCATCCTGTCCCAGGCAGCTGATCATGGTGGCCCCGCACCATGACACAAGCTTCCCTTTGAGTTGTCCTTGCTCGGTGGGGCTTTCTCTAGTTTCGGGCTGTCACTTAAACTGCCCCATTTACAGTATGTGTGAGAAATTTGGCACAAGAGCCCGGTCTTCTCCCCATTCTTTTCATTCCTGATTCTTTTGTTGCCCTCCAGGGGGAACTGCACATCTGTGTCTCAGGTGAAAAGGCAAACCAACCAACAACCCTCGAGACTTTTCTCAGGGCCATGAGTGGCCTGGACCAAGGTCACTGAGGAAACACGAAAGGAACGTTAACTGGGCCATGTGTGTGCGTGTGCAGGCTCTCCCATAAGCTCTGTCCCCTTCCGGGGAATGGCCTCATGAGGCTGAGGCTGCTGACCCCAAAAGCTGCTCCCACGATTCTCCTCCCAAACAAACAAGGAGGTTTGCCTGCTAGCTGCTGGAGGGTTAGCCACTTTCAAAACACAGACCGAGGCCTCTTCGTTCAAGACTGACCCTAAAAACAGTGACATTTTAATACATCGGACACGCGGTGGCTCCCGTGACCCTGTGGGTCTATTCACCATCATCACCAGACCCCACACACTGCTCGACAGCTCGTGCTAGGGGACCATTCCTTCTCTTGCCTACCCCCAGCAGCACCGCACCCATCCACACAACCCACATCTAAGCGTGTCTCCTCAACCCGCGGGCTGAAAAGAACGCCTCTCAGAATGTGAAGCATGAATATAAAAGGGCTTCCCATGACAGTGATCACTGAATCATGGGGAATAAAGCCAGAAGGCAAATTTGCAATTCATCACATTATCCCCTGTTGTCTCAAATGTGATTCTTTTAAAGGCAGGCTGCATAGACACTCTTTCCCAAGAATTTTTTTTTTTCTTCCCGTAGCACATATTCTTGTTTTCGCAGAATATCCGAATGAGGATAAAACGATAAAAAAAAATTACAATAGATTAATTGCATCCCTTGAATCACATTATATTTTTGGTGCATTAAAAAAAGGAGTAAAGGAAAAAGCAACCAGCATAATAAACTCAGCCTAGAGAACTGTGTTAGTGATTGAAGGGTTAACACGGATTTTAGAAGTGGTTAAAAATAGTATTAGAAGATTATACATACAACAGTTTGAAATTCATATGCATTGCATTTTTTTTTCCTTTAAAAATGGTAAAATGTTTGGCAAATGTAAGCAAATGACTTGGACTGTGTGGTTTTCACCGGCTCTGAGCGAAGTCAGTCATAGCCAGGCGAGGCCCACTGCTTCCTGAGGTCACTCTGCGGGGCTGGGGGGGGGGGGCCGGCGGGGGGGGGGGGGTGAGGTGCTGGCCCCCCACGCCTGGCTCCCCTCTCGGGCCCTCAGTCTCGAACATGAACATGGAGCTGGTGAGAGGTGCCAATTACAGACTCCAGCACGGATCACCCATTAGCATCGCTGAGAGAACTCGGGGGCCTTGAACCACATGCAGACTGGGTGAGTCGTCTACACAGTGACCCATATTGCGAAAGTTAGAGGAGGGGGCACCCGCTCCTCCAACTTGCATGCTCCCCACCCTCACGTGGAGGAGGCAGGTAGCACGGGGTGTGTGTCCCTAGTGCTTATCCTGGTTGTCAACTTGTGATGTTTAGTAGACTTTTTAAAAAAATTTGTTTTGTATGTGTATGTATATCCAGAAACGTCCATCCTCCAAGCTGGCCACCACTGTTCCCTGAATTTGGCAGTGCCTGTTGCTTGCAGCTGTCGGCATCCCGAGAAAGCATGAGGTGCCTTCAAAGAGTAGACTCTGGGCCCCAGCAGGTCGGACGACAAACACACGATCCCATGCTCTCCTTATTCTGAATCCTGTCTGGCTCTGATTTTGAGAAAGAGGACAAAGGTCGTGTTGTGTGTACGTGTTGTGTGTGTGTGTCTGTACTGAGTTTGTGGGGTTTTTTTTTTGGAAACTTTTTTTTTTTTTTTTTTAGGAAAAATGACCCTTTGATTACTAATACAGAGTTCAACCTCCTTTTGTCACTATAAAACGGACTCCATGTTTTCACACCACTCATGATCTTCAAGGTTATAGATAAATTTTGTCCTATGGGTCTGGCTTGCGGGCACAGGGTCCCTCCCCAGATTGTCTAGGGTCAGAGTAGAGGCAAAGAACTCACTGGTGCTCAGCCCGCCTTCGTGGTTTTTGATGTAGCGTTTATAGTTTTTCCTCAGGCACTGCCACGTGGTTGTATAGAGGACAAAGGCGGACGACTTCAGCACGATGGCGATGCTGACGTACAGGTATCTGTAGGCCACGTTGTCATAGAGGACGCAGGCGCCTTGCTCCCCGCAGAAGGTGCTCCAGAACAGGCAGGTGGAGTCGATGCCGGCCCCGAAGATGAGGGGAGGGGGGATGAAGCCTGCGAGAGGGCAGAGAACACATCACACTCCCGCTCCGGCTCTGCAGGCTGGTCTCTCCCCATCCGCACGCGTGTACCCACTCTCCTTACCGTTCCTGGTGTCGACGCAGTGCGACCTCCTGGAGGGAAATGCAAGGAGGATATTGCACTCTGTGTACTGTGTTCCTGCACGGCCCCTCTAAGGCTGTGTGTGTGAGTAGAGGGAGCTGGGACCAGAAGTTGAACACGAGTACCCTTTACCTTGTGTCTGTATACATAAACATGTCTAATATGCATGCACACATGTGTACGCATGTATCTAAGATGAAAAATACCTGCACACGTGCTAACACTTTCCCTTCCCCTAGACGTTACCACTGCATTGAATCCTTTTCATTCTGAGCTGGGAACTGGTTTTAAAACCTTCACAATAGAGTATTTCAGGTGCTTTCAACCAGTGATCAAAAGTGGCAGAGGGGATAAAAACTAGCCTCCTTAATTCATGTCTGTGTTTCTGTCCCTTGTCCAATTGGGCTCAAAGGTTATCAGTCCTGGCTGCACATTTAAAATCATCCAAGGTGCTCCATCCTAGAACAATTAAATTAGAATGTTTGGTGCGTGGCTGGATCATCAGGATTGTGAAAGCATCCCCTGGTGAGGGGGGAAAGCGTCTCATCTGTACTATGGGAAATCAATGGATGGCTCATTAATACAAATTAATTGCCTCACAAAAAAAGGATCCCCGAGGCCAGAATGTGCTGCCAATCCTATCCAGGGAGAAACCTCAAAAGCAGAACGTGATCACTGGAAGCAGGTGGCAACATATCTGAGATCCCAGTGCTGGGGTAGACTGCGATCTGGAGTGTTCTTTCCAGGGCCACCCCTGGACTGTCAGAGTTTCACGTTTTATCAAGGAAGGTCCCTCTGAGAATCTGATGTGATGAGATACAGATCCTTAGTCCAGGAAAATACATCTACCCGCAAAATGACACCCATGTTTCGGGGTTCGTGGGCCCCTAAAGTCCACTCACGGTCCCCAGATTTAGAACACCCGTGTTACATAGGCTGTGTCCCTCCTTTCTGAGCCAGGGAGGGAAAAGGCTTAACTGAGGGAAACAACACTGCCTTGGTTTTAATGACAGGCCCAGAATGGGTGTGAGGGGGACTTCACTGCCCCAACAGTGCAAATGAGGTTGGCAGAGCTCCTGGCTCCCCAGGTGCCTTGGCACCACCCAGCTCTGCCCCCAGCCCGGAGAGAAACCCCAGAGAAGGGGTTTTAGTTGAAACCTCATTAACACTGCCCAAGCAGCTTGATTCTATAGGTAAACTCCAAGCTCAAAATCCTGCACGGTCTGCTCCCTCTTTGCAGCTTCTAAGTCAGCCTGGGCCCGCCGAAGGAAAGTGCTCACGCCAGCATTCTCTGCCCCAAAGTGTCTGAGGCCTTCCTCACCGACCGCTGGGAGTTCTCCCAGCCCCTCCAACAAATGCTTTTCTTCATTCAGCTGAACATGAGCCCACTGGGCTAACTGTCCTGACAACCACATAGGAGAAACTAAGTCACACGCCACAGTATCCAGGTAAAGAAATGGAGATCTGGAGCCAATTTAAATTGATAGACTTGGGAAAAGAATGGGACAAATCTGGCTGTTTCTATGGCCCAATGGGATCGTTTGAATCCATTCACCGAATTTCTCTGGGTTTTAGGAGTTGTGACAGCCCCCAAGGACTCCTCCCTCCTTTTTCTTCTCTCTTGAGTACACTTTGTCCTAGCTCACCCATCACCAAGCAATGAGGTGCCAAGACTCTGAAGCCTCTGACAACAGCTCTGCCATGGGAAGGGACGGACAGCCCAGGGCCCCCCCCCCCCCCCCCCCCCCCCCCCCGTTGCAAAGTTGCAATATAAAGGAGTCATTCTTTAATGCTTGCTTGGACCACAATAGCCTCCAAAATGCCAATATGTAACTCCTTCATGTATCTGTATCTGTGCAAGGGTTTTTAAAAATGTTATCATTAAAGTAGGGCATCCTTCTTCTTTGTGCTAACCGTGTCACTTTTATCCTGCCTGTCAAGCTCCATTACCAGATGACGCAGCCCTGGAAGGAGTCAGAAAAGCCCTTCAAACAGAAATTAGAAAGCTAAGTGCCTAGAAAAGTTTTTCATATTTTGGAGAGCCTTTGTGAGAGAAAAGAACGAACCTTTAACTTGAGTCGAAAGCCTTGGGGCGAGTTGCTTCACCTCTTGGTGTCTCCGTTTCTTGATCTTTAAAAATGGAGCTAATTCCGGTCCCCCCCACCCCCGGCCAGGGTCAAGGTGAGCACCGGTACAAATGCGGTGTTATGCACAGGTCTGGTCCTTCCACATGGCCAGAGCTCTTGTTACCTGATTCATGTTCTACAGGGGACTTGGGGTAACCGTTTAAACTCTGGGTTTAAGACTTTAAGTATAACCTTTATGAGGCTCCTTTTAGATTTCTGAAAAAAAAAAATTGGCTTTTCCACCAAATTCATCTTCTCCTTTATAGTGACTTTAAATATTCTTCCCCAAAGGGGTGCTCTGGCTCTCAGGTGTGCACAGAATACGAGAGGAAGATCTCTCTTTCACCAGAGGTCATTCTAGCACTCACCTGATTAGTCACGGAGGGGAGTTCCACCTGATGGCTAATTCTCACATGTGGCCACTCATCATTCTGTTTCTCACTCAGATGGACCAAATACACGCTCGGGCTGTCCCTGCAAGATCCCACCTCCCCAGACACCAATGGGAGACTCCCTTACAATGGCGGAACTTAACGAAGGGAAACCTCATTCAAGTGGAGTAGGGAGGACAGAAGGGGGAGCCATACAACCAGAAGAACTGTCAATTACAGACCCCCAACAGGGAGAGATGTACATCGTATCTCCTACAAGAAATGGACGACCCGGGCAACTCAGCCAGTAAGAACCTGTCATCCCCCTGAACTCTTGCTCTTCTCCACTGGACTTTCATTCAGTACCCCTTGTGAGGTATAGTGGGGATCCCCCTCCATAAAGTAATCCCCCCCCTCCCGACCCCCCGCGTTTAGGATAGGACTTGCCTATGGTTTTGCCGTAGCTTACATGCCTGGAATTGCAATCCTGCTATTCTCGAATAGCCCCCCCCTTTTTTTTTTTTTTTTTGCTGGTAAAATAATGGGCTTTTATTTTTAAGGTTCACATTATTTAGTGATCAGAGTGGGATCCAGAGAGGATCCAATCAACAGGCTTAGTAAAAGCTAGAACACTTTGAGAGTAAAGCCGTGCGGGCCCTCAGAGCCAAGTGAGCTGCTCTCCTGATGACCTTAGAGTTTGCAGGTAAGTTTTTTCCTGGATTTCAAGCTCCACTCTGTGTTTTGAGCTCTCCAGACTTTATTCGGGATCTGTTTTAAGGCTTTGTACTTTCTGAGAGTACTCATTTGGCCTTTGGTAGGATTCCTTTTGGAATCATGTCTTTCCCGTTGAAAAACTGTGCTGTTTAGGACATTTTTGTTACTTTAGAGAATAAACCACTAAGAAATGGAGTCCGTTAGGCCCTTTTCGGAGTTGTATGTTGCCAGCCCTCAAAATGCTTTAGGGGGTGCCCTCCCCCTTCTGGGACCCCAGCTGGTTTTATGTTTAAAAACTGCAGTCCCTCTTCATGCGCATTTCTAACTAAATGGACCAACTTAACCGAAAATCATTTGGAACTTTAGTGGGGAACCTTCCATCTTCCTAAACTGACTCTTCTCAAAACTGGATTGGACAGGCCTGGCTCTAAAATTATCAACTGAATGGCATGCCTATATTGATTGGTATTTTGCAGCTTCCAAACATTATCAGGAATCTAAAATTTATACTAGCTGAGGCAAACAAAGAAAAAAGGGCAGCTAAAGCCGCTCTTCTCCTTCCTTGTTCCTCTTTGTCTCAGGATATATGGCAGCCTCCTGGCTCAGATCCAACCTCTGGAACCATTTTCCTCTATTTGCTCTGCAGGTCCTCTATATTGCCCCAAGCTAATCTTTTCTTTCAACTTCCCTTTCCCTATGAAGGAACTTCTCCCTCCTCTCCCAGACCTATTAAAATCTCCTTTAAAGTTAAGTATCGGAGGATCCAAATAAGCCCCCCATTTCTTATGTTCCCTGGAATAGGGCCAAACTGTGAGACATAGTAACAGAGTTATTCACATTTACCAACCTGGTTTCTCAGATTTGTATTAGTCCACATGCCTGTTGGTGAGGTCCTGGCCAAACAATGGATGAAACTAGCCCGATGGGAACAGCCTGAAGGGGATTTAGAGAAAACAGACTCCTAACTTTTGGCAGGATGCTAGGACACTCTCTGCAAAAGCTTCACCAAGCAATTATAGTAGCTTTTACTAAGCCTGTTGACTGGAACAAAATTCAAGTTTGCACACAAAAGCCTGATGAACCTGTTCATGACTATTACAATCAACTCCAAATTGTCTTTAAAGAACATTCTGGTCTTCCTTTAGATGTAGAATTCACCCGGGGAGCACTGAACTCAACTTATTAATTATTTGTTATTATTAACACAGTATTTTATTTATTTTCTTTTTATTACTGTTTGAGAGTGAGCGAGTGAGAATCCAAAGAAGTGCCCCCACTCAGCACAGAGCCTGACGCAGGGCTCAATCTCGCGACCCTCAGCTGATGACCTAAGCCAAAAATCAAGAATTGGACACTCAACTGACTGAGCCACGCAGGTGCTCCGGTATTTCTTCTTTAGTTAAAAGGATCAGGTTGGAATGGGAAACTGCCCACCGCAGATTTAATGTGGCAAATCAGCTCACTTGTACCCTAGATGAGTCACCTAAAAGAAAGTACTAAAATTCTTAATCTCCAATGCTGGCCAATGAACACCCCTAAACGAAACCAACGCTTCCCTAATTTCTGGTATTACTGCTAAGGGCCAGGACCGTGGAAAAAAGATGGTTACAAAGTGCTCCGGGCACCTGCAGCCTTCTATCCAGCCTTTTCGGATGTCCTCTTAATTCCCAGTACTGGGGCT